CATAATAACGTCCTCTTACTTCAAGTAACCGCAAAAATAAATATGATACATTTTAAATAATTTTATTCCAATGGTTTTTGTTACAATAATTATACCTCTTAGGGCTCTGCTCTGTGATGATCATTGCAGCTGTTTCACGTAAGAAAACCTCCTACTCACAATCAGGGACAACCTGATCATCATTGAAGGGATACCTGCATGTATCAAGAAGAAGAGAAAAAGAGATTAGAAGGGGAAAGACAGAACAAAAGAGGATGGAAAGAAAGAGGTACATCTTAATGTACAGTACACAAAAATCACCAAACTAAAAATAGCTAATTAAAATTTTATAGCAAAATCACCAAAAGGAAGTGCCACCAAAATAAAACGCTATACGCTTAATATCATTATGATTCACAATTTCACACCAAACAGATCTGATTAGGTGCATGTGTTTACTGATGGCCAATTAATCATTAATTGTGCAAACTCCTTATAAATGAATCATGATTATTAATTGACCATACAGCAAACACATGCATCTAATCAGATCTGTTTGGTGTGAAATTGTGAATCATAATGATATTAAGCGTATAGTGTTTTATTTTAGTGTGTCAATCATGATTCCCTTACTGCTGAACACGACACGCCTCACAAAGCAGTATAGCTTTACGAAGGTTTCTCTCTGACCTCTCTGCAATCCTCTTGGCTAGTGTATCTGGTATAGTCAATGATTCTTTATGACAAACATACTGTAAGACACTACATTATAATTAAAAATACTAGAAGAATGTAAAACATCAAGGAGCTCTGCCCCATATTCATGCAATCATCATAAAATTAGGTTATTTAACTTTAATATTCAGATGACCCTAGTCACCCTACAGTCATAGGCGGTTGCAGACTTGAAATGTTGCATGGGCTGGGAATTAGAGGGGCACGCAAAGTGTGCCACAATTTTTGGCCACATCCCTTTTTACATTAATAAAACGGCATTTTCCTTCATTTTCATGAATTACGAGTGTGGTCAAGATAGTTTCAAGCATACTGGTACTTCTGACGACTTCTCATGGCTCCTTAAAGCACTGGAAACTGCTGAGATCATAATCAGGGGGCTAGATAACTTTGTTAAGAGGCTTGGTAGTGATACAAGAGTCCAGGAGTTGAGTAATTTGACAACTTGAGTAATTGAGCAACCAAAATTAACCTGGGCACAGCCCAGGCCTGGAACCGCCTATGCCTA